TAGAACAAAAAGACAGCAACAACGAAAAACCCCGAAACACTTCACTACATGCGCGTCAAAGAGCACAGTCTGTGTTTCTTCTAAACGTTCTCTTACACCCCCGCCCCCCCCCCCCCCCAACCTTCCTTGCCATCCCTCCCACCCTCGCTCCCCGTTCATTTCAAAACCCGTTGCCTTTCAACAGCCCTGATTCAAGACCTTGTAAGCCAAGGCGAAGAGCTGAGAGTCCTTGACATTGAAGTGGATCAACTGACGTCACAGCTGGACATCCTCACAGTGGCGCTGCAGGAGTCGGCAGGGGGCGTCACGTGCAAGAATTAAACTTGAACAGTCGTCTCCGCTGTTTCGCCACCTCTGTGGCAGCTTCGCAATATTAATTTATTATGATCACAATCATCGTTCTTGTTGAATATGCCGTGGCACAGGTATTAAAGCTTCAAAACGTACAGTAGTAAGCACAGTTCTGTCAAATAAGAAAAAAAATGTTATGATAGACTCATCCATGTTTTACTGTCTGCCTGTCCTGTCTGTCTGTCCTGTCTGTCTGTCTGTCTGTCTGTCTGTCTGTCTGTCTGTCTGTCTGTCTGTCTGTCTGTCCGGTCGGTCGGTCTGTCTGTCTGTCTGTCTGTCTGTCTGTCTGTCTGTCTGTCTGAGATAAACAATCTCTCTTCCTTTCCTAATCATGACATTTGTTTTTTGTTGATACTGGATGAGAGAATAAAGATGTACCCCCACACCTTTTACATCCGATCCTCATCCACATTCAATTCTTAATGTCTTGTAAAAGATAGTATTGGTGCTCATCTATTGTTTTTTTTACGATTCAAAGCTGATACCATCACTGCCCATTTGAATATTGAGACAAGAAATGCTTGTGAGGCAGCTTGGTGGAATCAGGCTCTCGTCAAAATAATGAAATCGAAGAAAACAGCAGTTTTCTCCCTGCTTAACAATTTTAATCAAATTTTTGTTTTTTGGCTCAACACATTTTATGTCCATTTACAAACACATTCCTTTAAGGATTTCACCGAAAACGTTAATTAAAGGTACAAAAATATAAATTTACAGTTTCCATGGTCTCTCCAGCTTTGGAATTTACCATCTTTTGGCGGCCATTTTCTCGCTAATTTTACCTCTCAAACCAGGTGACCTCCCACCTCCCTCATACCAAAATATCTCCACTTCTATTGAAGATGGATGGGTAATTTTTTCATTGAAAGCAAGACAAATGAACAAGCTTTAAGATGATACCAGTAACTCAATATGTCCCAAAATTGACGACAGCCTGATTCCACCACGCTGCCTCACGTATACTAGTAGGAATTGTTTCGTCCCAACAAACAATACATTTATTTGTTGGGGGAGCAGCGTTAGTCTACATTACATGTTCTTTAATGATGGACCATATTTCTAAGCTGAACAAATCTTAAATCATATTATTGAGAAGTAGAATCTGAGGGTACAGATCTGATTTACTTGACTTAACACTCCCCACAATTTTTAAACAAGTTCACAAAGCGTACGACACTTTCATTCTTGGCTTTGCCATTTTCAAATTAGACATGCTAAAGTAGGTCGAAATGAAGGATCAACAGACTTCATATAATAAAAGGAAACTACTTCAGATACCTTTTTTTTGCAGGGTGCAGAAGACATTTTTTTTCTCTTTCAAGCAACAGAATTTTGTTGTCTCACAGCCTTCAGTAGAAACTGTGAAAGTGATCTTGATGAATGTCGTTGTGAATTCGTACAAAATAAGACATGCTGTGGCACGTGACATGGCGATCTGAGAAAGTGACGTGAAACTTTTTCTGGGGAAGTTTGTTTGTTTGTATGTTTGTTGGGCATCTGTGTGTGTATGTTGTGGTGATGTATCTCACTCAGCCTGGGGTTGTCAGGACAGGCAGGGTCCAAACAGCCCGCCTCGAAAATGATCTCAATTGTGGCGATGGGGGGGGGGGGGGGGGATAAACATTTACAATTAATTAATTTCAAATAAATATATTTAACGTGTTATACATATATTTTTAAAGGAATTGAGCCTTGCCATTATAATTTTAGTCTGAACAAGTATGGACTTTGAAAGAATACCTTCTCACTGTTCTACACTGTGTCTAAATTGTCCTTTTGTGCTCGTATTTCTCGTCGTATTACAAGTATTTATGTAGTTTTATTAAGAATTGTTGTATGTTGAACGAACGGGCCAGTGTGCAGTTACCATTGATTTACTTGTACATTTTTAAAACTTATTGTGAAGCGCCAAGAGCCGCCAGGGAATGGTTGCTATAGAAGTGATCATTGATATGATTATGATAATAATAACTCTTATTGTTACATGTATCATTATTATTATTATTATTATTATTATTATTATTATTATTATTATTATTATTATTATTATTATTATTGGTGTTATTATTATTATCATCATCATCATCATTATTAATATTATTATTATTATTATTATTATTATTATTATTATTATTATTATTATTATTATTATTATTATTATTATCATTATTATATTAATCATAGTAAATTACTCCAGCGAAAAAAAATTCACTTTCAATCTCTTTTTCTCCCCTTGAATCTTCTCGATTGTTGCGGCTGTATTAACGACTTGTGTATGACAAATTGCACTGTCATCTCACAGCGGGTTGCGCAGCAGGAAGCCAGGGAATTGTAGAGTTTTTAGTACGAGTTTGGAGCTGCTTTTCTCTACACTATTTTAAAAAAATAGTTGGACTAAATTAGGTTGATGGGAGTGTAAAACATTCTAAATACATGTACAAAGAAACAACATCCTCCCCCCTCCCCCACCCACCCCCCCCAAAATGGAATGGAAAAAATTACCGCTGGATATCCAGGTATCATACCCTGAACCAAAAGTAATCGTTTATATTAAATATATATTGTTTTTCTTTTTTGGCAAATGGGATAACTGTCTCATATTGTTAAAGATCTTTATGTAATTAAGACTTGAACAATCTACGCATTATTAATGCTGTTATTTCTTCTCTTTGTTACCACTAACTGGTTTGTTTTTGACTTTTGCATTTCTATTTCATTTAAATTATTATTTTGGCTTGGACCCAAATCTTCATTTGTAAAATATTCATTATTTCACAGCGGTTTTTTCGCATTGCTCTTGTAGGTTGTTTCCATTTTCTAAATTTCTAAAACGCTATTAATATTCTCCATACTGTCTATGTATTGAGATGCCTCCATTAGTTTCATTTCTAATAACATTTCCATTTTGCGCCTAAAACTCGTGTATGTAAGGGACCTTAAACGCATTATGTACGAATGGTCGTCTCGTAATTATGCTACATGTACCAGTGTCAACCAAAACGTCGTGGGTACGAAGCCCGTTCATGGCCCGGCTCTTGTTTCTTTCAGAAAAGAGGTTGCACAACACTGTGAGGCAGCGTGGTGGAATCAGGCTCTCGTCAATTTTTGGGCATATAGAGTTATTGGTATCATCTTAAAGATTGTTCACTTGCCTTGCTTTGGATGAAAAAAATATCCATTTATCTTGAATACAAGTTGAGATATTTGCGAAAGAATGAGATGTGGGTCACCTGTTTTCAGAGGTAAAATAAGTGAGAAAATGGCCGCCAAAGACTAGTTATTTCCTTAACTTAAGAGTCCGTGGTAACTGAAAATTTACATTTTTTGTTCCTTTAATCAACGTTTTTGAGAAAAATCCACAAAGAAATTAGTTTTTTAAAGGGCATGAAAGGTGTTGAGCCAAAAAACAAAAATTGATAACAATTCACAAACTTGCGGAAAAATGCAAGTTTCTTCACTTTGACTATTTTGACAAGAGCCTGATTCCACCACGCTGCCCCACAAATTATTTGCTTCACACTGCCATGGTGAACATGAGAACCCGGCAATGGACAGGGAAAGATCTTTTCAGTGAGTTATGTTTTTAAGCGCTGATGGAATGATAGTTTTCGCTCCAGGATTTTGAGAATGTTTCAAAATGCATATTGTAGAGCCTATTGCAGTAATAATACAATATTCAACAACGCACGGTGCCTTAATTTTTCGAGGAATGCGCTGTCTAAATAAATGCAATTATTGTCCTTTTTCTTCTTCTTTTTATCATCTTCACCTTCATCATCATCATCATCATCATCATCATCATCATCATCATCATCATCATCATCATCATCATCATCATCATCATCATCATCATCATCACTATCATTATTATTATTATTATCATTATTATTATTATTATTATTATTATTATTACTATCATTATTATTATTATTATTATTCTCTTCATTATCATCATCATCATCATCATCATTATTATTATTATTATTATTATTATTATTATTATTATTACTATTATTGCTTCTTCAGATCAAATGTGCTCATAAGAAGTACAAATGCAACATAGCAAGATCTCATGTCACATAGAAAATTTCACGCCACATAGAAAATCCAAATAATAATATACTGTGGGAAATTTTTTTGTATCTTTGTGCCTTGCAAGTTCAGATGTACAAATAGCAAATCCAATAAGTGTAGCACAATAGGAAGTTCAAATGTCTCATAGCAAAAGCAAATACCCTCCAAACAGATTGCTCAGCGTGAACAGCATTTTCAATATGATCAAACTGAGTCGACGATAACCATAGACCGGATCCTTTTTAGAGTAAATTGATCACCATGAAAAACTCGAGGATGCTCCCACGAAATGAAATTCTGATTGGACTGAAGTAACCGGGCATCAAGGCATCATGGCTGATGCAGAACATTTAGCAGTATGAATTTGTCGTCATCGATGAGGTTGGTTTCAACCTGTTGACGAAGAGAAACCTAGGAATATTCATGGCGTGGTCAATGCGATGTTCGAGTTGTCAGGGTCGAAGGGGACCAAACCGCACGTTGGCATTAATGCTGTTAGAACCGATGGTGGCCTGGTCTTTCACGAATCTTTTCAGGGGAGAATGACAGCTTTCGTTTCAACCGATCCCGCAAAGAAACCTGTTCCAAAAATCCCCACAAAGGATTATGCTTTGTATGCAACAACGTTCGTGCACACAGGCAAGCTTTAAATGCCAACTCATCAAATTATACAGTAGAGGTGAAAATAATGTCTTGCACCCTACACATCTTTTCTTAACATCTATGAGAAGGCTTCTTAAATTGGAAATACTATTTGAAGCAGAGGCTCGCTGAAGCAATAGACCACTAAATACTTACTCAGCAAACTCACCAAGAAAGGTTCGTAACACTTGCCCAGTTGATGGAACCAAAAAACCCATATGTGAGGCAACATGGTGGAATCAGGCTTTCGTCGAAATAATCAAAGTGAAGAAACTTGCATTTTTCCTCAGGTTTGTGAAATTTTATCAAAATTTTGTTTATTGGCTCAACACCTGTCATGCAATTTAAAGAACTCATTTCTGTGTGGATTTTCCTTCAAAACGTTGATTAAAGGCACAAAAAATATAAATTTTTAGTTATCACGGACTCTTAAGCTAAGGAAATAACTAATCTTTGGCGGCCATTTTCTCACTAATTTTACCTCTGAAAACAGGCGACCCCCACCTC